ATACAATCCTAGCCGCTGTTAATACATTTACAATCAGGTATTTCAATTCTTTACTATATATTTCATGTAAAATTCCCAATAAAAATATTTCTGGTTTCAAGTCCATATGCTTTTTTGTCATTTTTTCCAACCACGTGTGGATTTTAGTCCAATATTTTTGGGCATCCGCACAAGTCCACCACATATGGTAATATGAGCCAGGTATCTGATGACATTTGAAGATGCAAATAAACCGGGTAGATGGTTAGCATATAAATTGAGAAAGGAGAAAGAATCAAGGAAAATATTGCAATTAATAGATGACCAAGGCCAAGTTTGCTATGGTAGTAAAGCGAAGAAGGAAATTATACGAGACTATTATGGGAAACTATACACACAAGAGAATATTGATGAGGAAAGAGTTAAACAGTACTTACAGAATGTTAATCTACCCCAGATACCTAAAGAGATTGAAACAATGTTAGAAAGCAATATAACGATGATGGAGTTAACTGAAGCACTTAAGAAGCAAAACAATGCAAAGGCACCAGTCCTAGATGGACTTCCGGCAGAATTTTATAAAACACTACAAGAATTGTTGAACCTTCCATTGCTAGAAGTTATGAATGAAGTTATGTTAAAGAAGAAGATACCTAAATCATGGTCAGAAGCTTATATTACACTTGTCACAAAAGAGGAGGCCGATCCGTTACAAATCAAGAACTATAGACCTATTTCCTTACTAAACACAGATTATAAAATTTTTGCTTCAATATTGGCAGAAAGACTTAAAAAATACCTAAACAATTTTATCCATCTTGATCAAAATGGCTTTCTGCCAAAGAGACAAATTAAAGACAATATGATAGTAATCTTGGACACTTCGGAATACTACGAGGCACACCATGAAAAACAAATGGCTTTGATATTTTTAGATGCACAGAAGACATTTGATAATGTGAATTGGCGATTCATGTTATTACAGCTGGAACAGATGGGCTTTGGTGAAAAATTTATTCAAGCAATAGAAGCTATATATCATAACCAAACGGCAAAGGCAATGATAGAGGGAGAACTGACAGACTCTATTGATATAAGAAAAGGAACAAGACAAGGGTGCCCACTATCACCTTTGTTGTTTGTGTTAACCTTGAAAGTGTTAAACAGAAATATTAGAGAAGAAAAGGATATAAAAGGGATGAAAATTAAAAAGGAAGAATTTAAGTTGCAAGCATTCGCAGATGATCTGGTTTTCATTTTAGAAGACCCACTAGAAACAGCATCAAAATTGATAAAAAAGATAAAGGTATATGGTGGCTGGTTTGAAAATAAATAAAGATAAAACAAAGATTTTGACAAAATATATGCTATCAAGACAAATGGAAGAACTGGCGGATGTATTGAAAATTCAGGTCATGAATAAGATCAAGTACTTGGGGATACATTTGACAGCAAGATGTAATACACTAAAAGAGAATAATTATATCAAACTTAAGCAGCAGATAGCGCTAGATTTGGCGAAATGGGAAAATTTACAACTGTCATTAATAGGGAGAATATCAACAATCAAGATGAATATACTACCCATAATTTTATATTTGTTCCAAACAATTCCAGTTAGGCTTGGAAAAGATTATTTTGAAGATTTAAATAAAATTGTGTTGAAATATATATGGCAAGGTAAGAAAGTGAGAATAAAGTTAAAACTTTTGCAAGATGCCAGAATAAGAGGAGGATTTGGTTTGCCTAATTGGTAGCTGTATTACCAAGCTACAAATTCTTTGTGGGTTAAGGAATGGATAACATTAAGAAATACTAGATTGTTGACATTAGAAGGACATGATCTGTTGTTGGGGTGGGATGCTTTATTATGGTATAAAGGAACTAAAACACAGAGGGTATTTTAGTCTCTGTGGTTAAACTGGGAGGAGACTAAAAGACAATGTTATTTGAAAATTCCAGTCTGGTTATCGACTATTGAAGCATTTTCCTATCTATAATATATAAAAAGGAACAAACAGTTAGATATGGTGAAATATTGAATGAAAAGGGTGAACTTAAATCTATGCAAAAATTAGAGGAACAAGGTATAAAGATGAATTGGTTTTCATATGCGCAAATACATTCAAGGTATGACAAAGATTCTAAAACAGAAGGCTTCTATGTTATACTGACTGACTTAGATAAGATTTTGACAGGTACTGATGAAAAGGTGATTAAAAATTGTATGGATATTTATTAGAAATTAAACTAGAAGAAAAAGTTAAAGAAACTATGATTGCTTGGGAAAAGAATTTTGGATATGGGATTGATCTAGAGAAATGGCAAAAATTGTGGTCTCAAAATTATAAAATGACAATGTCAACAGCATATAAAAAAATTTGTATAAGATGTTTTACAGGTGGCATTTTCCTCCGACAAGAATAGCAAGAATGTTCAAGAATGGGAAGGTGTTTTTAAACGGGAATGCGTGGAGGGATAGTAAATTAAACAAGCTATGAAAATAGGGGAAATAAATGGTAGCTATCATAGAATTTACATTTCCATCCAATAATATTAACTGTCTTGGTGGGAAAACCTATTAAATAAAGGTAAAGCATATAATAAATATTTAAGCCTCAGTATTTTTATTGACTCTTGGGTAGCATTTTGATATAAATTCTACTTGCCGGCAGCATATGTGCATCATTTTGACTTGGTAAATGAAATTCTTTTAGATGCCAGTGTAAAATAATGAATTTATCCCTCAGTTAATTGTATTGCTTTGATAACAAGAAAGGGTGTTGAACCCAGAGAAAACAGTAAGTAAATTTATTTGGATGATTTGTGTGATGCTTTGAGAAATGATCTTGTGGACTGACCTGGACTGATTTTAATGGAACTTTACCAGCATGTTGGTAGGTCCCAGAACACAGTATTAGATTGAAAAGCATGATTCCTTCATAGTTGTTATCCTAAACAAAATAAGTGGAATAGCACACAAATAAACCTTGGTAGAAAAATATGAATTTGAGAAAATGTCATCTCCAAGATCACTGAGAAACATATTTAATCCCTGTTATTTAACATTATTCTAGGGCAGGAGTCTCCAAACTTGATAACTTTAAGATTTGTGGCTTCAACTCCCAGAATTGCCTAGCCAGCATGACTAGTTGAGGAATTCTGGGAGTTGAAGTCCCCAAATCTTAAAGTTGCCAAGTTTGGAGACCACTGTTCTAGGGAGTTAGTTATTCTCTTGTAGAAGCAGAATAACCAAAGAATAATCTTTCATTTAATAAACTGATCTTATCCTTTCTATTACTTTCTATTGAATGCAGTCACAATAAAGTGGCCTAAACAGCACAAGAGGGAGGGTGACACAGTGGGGAACAGACACAATATGGATAGAAGCCATAATACATGGGAACCTGAGGCAATCGTATTTATGAAATTGAGATTTTCTTTTCTACATTAATTCTATATTAGCTAATAAACTATATTTCATATGATTTTTAAGAATTGGGAAATCATAACGCTGAAATCAATGGCCTAGTCAGTCAGAAGTTTCAAGAAATATTTTGGAGATGATATCTCGCTTCCTATAAAATAAAACCTTTTGGTAAGGGAATAATTGAGATGGCCATGATGAGACATTCTACTGTTATGCATAACACTAGACCGACAGTGAGGTATTCTGTAGCAGATATTAATGAAAATCACTCTATGGTTAAAGTCACATATAAAGTAATATAAGTAATGTCTTAAACTAAGAGTAAAAACAGAAGTTAGAATTCAGAGATCAATAAGAATTATTCTTCAGTAGCCATGATTAGAGGTCTTCTTAATTTCTTAAAGTTATTCTATGGATAGTACACAGGAATAAACCCATTTGTAGAGTTTTGAGTATTGCTGCAGTAATACTGCTCTAGTCAGTATACCCAATGTTGATAGATACTTGGAGTAATACAGCCAGACTCTAAATCCCAGTATATGTTTACTTCATCAGAAGAATGTCAAGTGGCAGATATTTTTTCTTACCATTTTGTTTTCATATATTTTGCTAATAAGTTCATCCTGAAATGAATGCAAATGAAATGAAGCAAGCATTAATACTAACACATTCAGTTAAGAATAATTTTGTGCCAGGAATATTAGCCCAGTTACCTTGCTATGTATGTTAATTATGTGGCAATAGGATTTGATAAATGCAATATATAATTAAGGATTTCATTATATATGTGTATTTAATTAACTTTGAATATGCTAGATAGATGTTCTGTATAGTGGTGAGGTACAAGAAAACAAAACAATACATTAAATGCCCAGTTTCCTTAACCTACTGCCCCCTTGAAAAGTTGGAAAAAAAGCTATTTCAGTGGCAGACTCATTTTGCCTTGGAGCCTTCTCAGAATGGATGAACTCAACTCAGAATTCAGTTCAACAGAACATAATGCCATTACAATAACTAAATAGGAGAATATATGCCTTGGGAGACATGTTTCCATATGCATCATAATGGAAAGCCAGGTGTCCACATCACTGACCTGAAGAGCAAGTTATGGCAGCATATTTCAAATTCAGAGCCAGGCTTAGTATTTAAATCTTTATTACTGCATTACTGTTTTCCAGTGAAATAGCATTCACTCCCACTGTCCAGTTTATATATGTCCAGTTCTATAAAGAACTCACATTAATGTTAATAATAAGTTGCATTACTCCATGGAAGTTAGAAATGTTGTTTCTTGCTCAGAAACCGATATGGACCAAAAAAGTGACATAGATGAAAAGCTCTACTATCCATTAAATCAGTTCATTGGCTTTAATCTTGTCTCCTATGAATACCCATATGAATGTTTGTAAAAAAAAAAAAAAGACATGGCTGCCTTAAATGGTAGCACTGAGGGCCATCATGCAAAGACTGAAATAAATCTTCCAAAGCATTTTCAAAACCTGCAGTATGTATATCCATATAAGAATAAAGAAAACTGGGAAAATATTTTTACAATGGTGTATTACATGGTTTTTTTTATCTTTTCTTACAGGGCTGGCAATTGCAAGTGCACTGATAGACATTTCACAACAGAAGCCCTCAGAGTCTAAAGATAAGAGTTTGGGAATCAGAAATCGAAAGCATCACCTTTCAACCCGTCAAGGGACTTGCGTCTGAGAAAACAAGAATGCATTTGTATATTCTGTATTGTTTTATTCTTCTCCCCCTCCCCAAACTTTTTTTTAAAAAGAGTTTCCATTGAAAGCTAAAATACAGCCTCAGTTTTTATGGAGGTGATCTCTGGATGGTGGCAAAGACGATGGTAAGAAGTATCAACTTAGATGAATTAACATGTCTTCTTCCCACTGAGCCCCCAAAGTCCTAATGGGCAATGTGAATATATCGGCTGAACCTGAAGAAAATATTTTAACATCAGTAGTAATATAAAATATTTCTCCACAATTTTTTTAGTATCCCTACCAGGAAAAAAGGAAAAAATTATAAATTGCTTTATAATGGGAAAGGAAATATATTATTGAAATGTTAAATATTTTGAAGGACTCGTTACATAGTTAGAAGTAATAGATTACCAGTGTTTCAGTTTGATCACTATTCGGACACATTTAATTAAATCAAACAAGAACTGACATAATTAGGGATATACTGTAAATATTATAACTGCCAGATGTAACAATAGAACTCAAGCTAGAAATACAAACATGTATTTCAGTGAGCCAAATATAACAAGAATAAAATACATGTATTACAATAAGTAAAAAAATTGATACATTAATATCAACATATCTTTCAAAAGCAGGGTAAAGTATAAGTTCAGAATGTGGAATGCAGCAGAAAGCTCATTCCTGTATTCCTTGCCAAACTAACTCTTTGTAAGAGGGGGGGAAACCAATCCGTCAGCAAGGTATCCACAACCATTCTGCCCTCCCCTTTACAGCCATGTTAAGAATTGCAAGACATGAGAGGGCGGAGTTGAAAAACTTTACATTCCTATATAAAACTGCCTTGAATTCTGCATTAATACTGGTAATACTAATAATACTGATGGCCCATGAAATCCATGGACTTAAAGCTTGTTGCAGATTTTAGCCTTAGTATCCAATGGGAAAATCATTGCCATAATCACTACCGAATAATGTTATTCTGACTATATTCTCCCCTTTATTGCAGCTATTAAAAGTCATCTCCCCTATTAGAAGCAAATATATATTCTTCTCCCTTAATAAAACATACATTGAAGTATCCAATGGCCTACTAACGGTTTTATTCCTCAAGGCTGTTGGAATGACTTTTCAGTATAGGCCGTTACCAAATTGCCTATCAAAAGGAAAGAAGGAAACAATTTTTAGCATGTCAATTTCCATCCTTTTCTTTATGCAGACTACTGCTTCATCAAAAGTCACCTCATAAGCTATGGGCGAGCAAATTGGTACCTGTAGGCATCAGAGGATACATATCTTCCTATAGTGTCCATAAAACTCCAACATTAAATCAAAGTTTTTTTTTAAAAAAAACCCTTCACATATCTAAAATATTTGCAGTATTCCAAATCTAAATGCATTTTTGCTCATTTGAAACTTGTGAAATTTGGGGTGGCTATGCCAGAATCTAATAAGATGTGGCAGTGCCCCAATATTTTGGCCATACTCTCACAAGGGTTCACCTGCAGAACCTCATAAACCACTGGTGTTTCCTAGACCATAATCTAAGAAACACTGGTCTAGATATTTGAAAACAAATAATAATTATGATACACTTTTATTGCTTCATAATTGCTGCTTAATTGTGAATACACTTTATGTTTTCAGCAGCCGTTCTTTTGTTGATGAAAGGCTTTGTGATCCAATTAGGTTCCCATAGAAGGGAGATCTGGTTTTTGCCATTTTCCTGTGTCTCCTTCTGCCAGCCCTACCCACCCATACACAGATTCCACACACACACACACACATTGCTACAATACAGTTCTCTAAATATAAGGAAGACTAATGTCATATTTAATGAGAAAAGGATCTTTCAGAGGTTTAATCAATTTGATAACATGCTCTTTAGGCTTCCTGGTCTCAAATCTAGAAAACACAAAGTGCATTTAAATAATAGAAATGCTGTTTAAGTACTTAATTTGTTTACTTAATCTTATTCATCGCAGTGTACATTAAATGCACAATTTTAGTTGAAGTTGGTATGTACTCAAAACTGGTAATAGCAGATTACATGTTCCAGTGGACTTGTTAAAATCCCAAGGAAGAACAGAACAGCAGTTCTTAGTCTGCAGAGCTGCTATTGTGGTAATTATGCACAGAGGTATAAACTCTTACCAGCGGTGGAGTTGTGTTAATTAAAAAAGGTATACAACTATAATTGGTGTTTATATTATATTTTCATTTTCTTCCAGGAAGGGAAAAGATTTAACTGTTTACAGTTTGACTACATAGTTCCTTGCATGTCAAGATGGTGCAGTAGCAGTAATAAAAGGCCTGTTTGTGACTTGATGGTGTTTCTCTTTAAAAATAAGTTTACTTAATTTGGATGAGGAGTGAGGTTTTGAAAAAAAATAAGATAGAAATTCATTAAATGAACTGTTGTACAGTATGTAGTTCTCTCTCATCCAAGATCTTTGGATTACATTTTTATCATGATTGCTCTACTGTTTTTGATTCATTGCTCAGTGATAAATTATGCAGGCATGATTGTTGGAACATTTTCATTCTCAAAAGGAGACTGATTATTACTCACGTTATGTTTCCAAGATGTGATGATTTTGTTTTAAATTCAATTTATTATTCTAAAACAAAGGGTCCCAGTTCTGCAGGCATTTTTGCGTTAATAAGTCTATTGATAACTTTATATACATATAAATACTTACAGAATTAGGGAGAGGGTGGGCTGTTGCTATCAGAAAAAAAATCGGTTAATGAACTTTTATAGCTCTGATAAGGCTCTTGTTTTTTTTGTTTTTTTTTAAATGCCTTCTATTATGCGAATAGAGACCAATTTCATTACAATGGGCATGTATGAGGAGTAAGGGGATTATTCAGAGAATAACAAAAGAGAAATAAAAGACTTGGCTGTAAATTCCTAATTTGTTCCTATTTAAATGTTTGATCCATCATAAATTCTCAGTATCTATGATATACATATATTAAAATATACTCAACATATAACACATATAACATAAATGTAACATACTAAAAAGTGGAAATACCTCTAAAGAGTTGGACAACCATGAGATGGAAACTGAAATTAGGAAGCAATTCAAAAGAGAAACTAACATATCCTTTCAACTAGTCATTGGTACAATATCCACTTTGCTAGGCTTAATTTATGAGTGCAAAACTATTAAGGCCTTTGCTTTAGAAAACAGCATATACCAAATTATCTGTTGGCAATACAAAATGCAGATCTTTCTGGTCTAGGAGGCACCTGCAGCTTTATAACCATTCTGAACCAGGATAGTAATGTAACAATTAGCCATTGATTTGAAGAAAGAATGGGAATCAATGTATTCATCCAGTGATAAGGAGGCAACATCCCAACAATGGTATATTGTCCGGGTTCTGTTCTCAATATGACAATACAGTCAGTCCTCGACTTATGAACACAATTGAGCCCAGAACGTATGTTGCTCAGTGAGAATTTTTTTAAAGCGGGTTTTGTCCCATTTTACGACTTTTCTTGCCACAGTTGTTCAGTGGATCACAGTTGTTAAATAAGTAACATGGTTGTTAAGTAAATCTGGGTTCCCCATTGACTTTCCTTGTCAGAAAGTTTGAAAAGATGGTCACCTAAGCCCAGGACACTGTAACCATCATAAATATGAACCAGTTTTCAAGCATTTGAATGTAAATCATATGACAATGGGGATGCTGCAATAGTCATAAGTATGAAAGTCTTTTTCCAGTGCCATTGTAACTTTGAATTGTCACTAAATGAACTGTTGTAAGTCAAGGACTACTTGTATTGTAATTGGACTGTGATCTAGCTAAATAAGACTTTCTTATTTAATCCAATATTTTTCATTGGGTCTCTGGGCACTATACATTGCACTGCAGAAAAGCCTTCATTTGTGCACAATTTAATATAGCTGGACTTTCAGATAGAAAGCACACACATGAGAAGGTATTAAGATACCTGCTTATCAGTATTATCACAAGCAATCCAAATCTGCTTGATGTCAAATGTGTATTAGCCTCAAAATGGAAATGTCATGGACAGATTGCAGAAAAGGCAAATGAAGCAAGTTTGATCTTGAATCAGTTTAGCCAATACCGAAGATAGCTCATAATCCTTAAGCAATATTAGCAGTAAGTACTTTTATCCATCTGCCAGGAAATGTTCAATCTCTCTATCACCTATTTGGTCAGACTGAATTGATACAGAAAAATGCCATAGATTAAATCTGGGAAAACCTGGAATTGGCATTTCAATTCCAATTCTGCCACCTCAATACCCATCTTCAGGCATATTTTACACTAATGCTTAAAAATATGGGGAAAAAACATAATGGATCCCTGGGTCCTAAAAATTCTAAGTTTAGGATACTTTGTGCCATTATTTGTGCATGTTCAACCACCTCATGAGAATTTTAAATTTCTGCTGAAGAAGAGGCCATAAAACCCCATTCTTAATATAAATTAATTTTGGGTTGTATTCTCTTTTTTGTTGTCACAAACAGGATTTAGACGATTGCTCCATACTAGAATTTGGTCATTCAATAACTTAATCCATGACTGAAAAATTGCTGTATACCTCTTGAGGAAAAACATGGGATAAATATATGTGATAGGCCTACTTCTGTTCAAAACCTAAGAAAGAAAACCCCAACTCCTTTTTAGAAAAGAGGTACTTTTAGTAAGTTTGAATTGATAGCAGTGTAAGCAAGGCAAGATCTGAACCAAAGCATATGAAAGTTACACATTGAAAGTCACCCCAAATCCCACCTCCCCAGGGTCCAGCACTGAGAGTCCAATCAACATCCAGTATGATGTTATGGGAAGCTCCTCTGCAGGTATTTCTTGCATCTGGAGTCACAGGACAGTTGACTTTGAACAAGTATAAATTCTACTCAGCAGCACCATAATTCATGAGTGCAAAACTCTTTCCAGTTCTCATGGGACTACTTCACACCAACTCACTTCCCCAGCCCAAATGTCCAGGCCCCTCTTCCAATTTCCATGGCATCCAAGAGCAAGCAAGCTTCAGAAAACCATGCTGGAGATCTAGCTGACAATATAACTTTTCCATAGCTTCTGGAGCTTTTATAGATGATAAACAATATTGCAATTTAAGTTCTGTATGCGGAGATGTTATATGAGCCACTTAATTTTGAGAGAATCTTTATGATACGATCTTGACATGCTTGCCTAATACAACTTTCTGCTTTGCTTTGGATTTCATTCACTTCGTGTCTCAGCATTTTTAAAGTAGCAGATCAAACCTTAGTTTTGCTCTCTTTTGTTCTAACATTGGCTGGGGTATTCTGGGGGCTGAAGTCCACACAGTTTAAAGTTGCTCAGATTGAGAAACTCTATTCTAAAGGAATGTTACACTTCTAAACTGGTTTTAGTTATATGACTGGAAGTTTAACACAACTCTCACAACTTTGAATATAGGTTTTGGGCTGATTAATACTTTTGAGTGGAACCTGACTTTTAAAGTATGCCTCATTGGATAAATTACATAACAGTTGAATAGATATGGGGCTAACATAGCAATAGGAGAAAGGCTATTATTTTTTCTATGAGAGTCTCTCTTCTGTAGCTTGAATATCTCCGTAGTATTGTATCTCAATGTGTAAGTCTGCTTCACTTGTGTCTACTAAGTAACTAAAAATATTGCCAGCAAAGTGCAACCTTAACACAACCAAATCTTGTCAGTTATGATAGCTTTTCTTGGAGGAGCCAGGTGCTCCAATCAGCTATGTCAGCCCTCCTGGCACTCCAGAAAATGCAGTAATCACAAAGCTAAAACTGCCTCACAAGGCCAGTCAGTGATCATTTTTCATGTCAGGCCAAGCCTTGCAAATGGAAAAGTAGAAGTTCAGTTTTTGAACAGCTTTTGATTCCTTTTTTCCTATTTTGGCACAGGATGTTATCATTTCAACACAACTAGTCTTTGCAGGAGAGTTTGGAGGCTGCTATGCAGTTCTTTCTTCATTCCTGCTAGCTCTGCCTTAGAAGAAGTTCAGGAGAAATGTTTCAGAAATACTTTGCAGTGAAATCCTTGAAGATACCAACTGAAGCTTGGCAGGGTTAAAGTCCCTTTAAAGAGTAATCATTCCCGCTGCTGTTGTGTTATTCTGTCAAAAAAGAAAAAAGAAGGGAAAAAAGAATCAGCTGCTTGCATTTTTATGTTTTTCCATTATAACTTATGGACAAATTGTTTTTGTTTTTTTTAATATAAATTCTCAAAACAGCTTTGATCAAATTGGTTTGACCCCTCCCCTGAAACTCAAATCACAAATACGAATATAATCATATGCCGTTGTGTACTAAATTCCTGCATGAGGAATCACTGCATGTTTTTGAAGATGATTTGAAAATGTCAATGCAAAAACTGATGGGAACATGCTGTATAACATGCAGTATAACACTTGTATTGCAACCACTGCACTGCCTTCCAGGGCCAATACAAAGTGCTAACATTTACCTACAAACATCTAACATTGCTTGGCTCTTATTTGCATGCAGGACTGTCTCCTTTTTGAGGTCTTTCATAGAGGGTATTCTCAGAGTCCTCATCCTACAAGAGAAATAGGAACTCATAGACAGTCCTTCATGTAAAAGGCTACCACAAAGTTTGATTAGCCCTCTCTCCATTGATTTTTCAGTGGACGTTCAGCACAATTTTCTTCTAAGAAATATTTGGATTTTAAAGGTTGCATTGGATTGCTTTTGAGACTTTATCTGGTATTTAAAAATTTCAGCTCAAAGATTCAAAAGGATATCTACAATACCTTATTATTGTTAAAAAATAACTCTGTTTATTCTGGTTTTGTAAATCAACTACTCCATTCCTCTTTTCCCACCTACTGACATTTTACCTTCACATCAATTTTTCCCTTTTTCTTGATTAGTTCACCTGACAATCTGCCAAACCCATAATTATGACTTAAGGCAACATCTCAGGCATTTGGGAACAAATCTTGGATTGTACATATGTATTATATTCTGTTTCATTGATCATGAAAAGAAACATGTTTAAGAACAATTTCTTTGCCACAAAGCCAAGAAAAATAGAATGGAACTAAAGTGGTCAGAATTTGCTAAATTTTACTTACCTCTCAAGTACAAGAACTAACGATTGAATACAATTAGAGAACACCAAGGAACAAAAACAGCAGCTCTTTTTGCTTGATCATTTCAGCCAATCCTATGGGAAACCTAAAAGATGCAATTGATTCTTCTACAGGGAAATCATATTGAACACAAATCCAGTGGAAATAATTGTTTAGAGTATAACAATTGTGAATGTATGCTTTGGGTATAACAATAGTGTATTGGTCAAATACCATTTAGAGGCTAGGTCACTACAAATTCACGTTTGGAGATGCTTTGCTTTGTCTCTGATCACATGAATGCAATTTCATAACACTAAAAATTAGCATTCCATTACCTAGTGTTCTCCAAATATGTTGAATTGCATTTCATAATAAGTCTACTTAACAAGGCTGATATTTATGTACTTATAGTATGGTAGTTGCATCTGGATAGCACCAGGTTAGGCAAAACTTGTAATGGGAGTGGGCTCTGCAAACCAAGTACAATAAATTTGCAAGGAGGTATTCTCCATTACTACTATATAATTAATAAAACAGAGTTGAACATTCTAGCATTCTAGATCTGGTGAACTTGTTCAAATGTGATCAGTTTGCCAAAGTGAAAGAAGAGATGTCTGTTTTTGTTTTTTGTTTGGCTGGGATATGTTATCACCTTTAGAAAAGTTTTTTAAAGTGTTAATTTTACACTTTTTAAATGTATGCATAAGATGACTATTCTCCTTTCTCTCTAGGGAAAACCTACTTGAATGATTTGCCATCAACAGCTATTTAAGTTAAAGGCC